TAAATCGTGATGATATAAACAAGTCCTAATAAACTTCACAGCACATGATTACATTTTGCTCTGCTTTTTTAATTTACCGTGTTTTCAGTATATTCTTAGGAAGAAAAGATTAACTTTTTTGGGAAATTTCTATTGGACTGAATTTCACTACTTTAACCAGAAATGGTGAAAAATCCGATTTTTGACCTTGAGAATGGGGGGTCGACTTATACACGAGTTCGACTTATACACGAGTAAATACGGTATTTCACATATTATTATAGACTGATTAAATCGTTCTTGTGTTTAGAGTACTGTGGCACCAGAGCTGTTCCAACTGTAGAGACATCTGATTACCTCATTACCTTGGGGAATAAACTTAACCCGAAGATAAACATTATGTGGACAGGTAAATCATTTTTATGATTTAATTTTGTGACTTTGCCTTTTCTTTTGATTTATTATTGATGAATGCTGGTTTTGTTGTCAACATGTCCTGTTTCATTTAGCAGTGTTGGTGAGGGACAAATCCTAGCCTGCTTCTTCTATGCTTGGTTGAAGGTACAGTTGCATCTTAGTTTTTCCTTTCCTGCCAGCCAGCCAGTATTTCAAAATTTCACAACCTCAGATATCCATGGTTTCTTATGTACAGTAGGGTTGTTAGTCCAGCAGTTTAAAGTTTCTCTGACTCATGATGTGATGATTATGATGTTCAGAGGAAGTTTGAACTAAATAACATCAAATAAACATAGCTCAAGTTTTCCTCGAACTAAAAATGTAAACAAATTAACCAACTCGTAAAAATTCTGTTTTCATAAAATAAACAATACTTTCCTTACAATGTGCTTACAGGATTAACCCCTTGTTTTTTGTTCTTTTCTCATATGCTCTGGACAGTGTTTGTGAATGCAAACAACATGGTTGTGAAAATTGAAAATTGAGCATAAATTGAAGTGTGCAAACTTTTTCATCTCCCAGCACTGATTGAAATGCAACGTGGAAAAAAAAATGGACATGGAGAGGAACAGAGACTAAAAAAATGTCGATAAAGGGACAGATTTCCCCCAACTTTATCTCATTTGTGAAAATATAGGTACAAGTTTCTTGAATGGCAGGGGGTGTATTCTTGTGAGCATGTTGTGAATGTGCTTAATAATGAGCACTGAACAATAATTTTGTATATTCCAGGTTTGGTTTGTAATGTACAGTCAGGCAACCTGTGGACCTTTATGTTGCAAGAAGGTACCAAGTCAAACATAATTTACATGTTTTGAACAAATTTCATAATGAAAAATTCATGCCATGTTACGACCATTTTGGAAAAAATCTTTTGTTTTCAAAATTGCACAGAACCTTCACTCAGTCTGCAACTCTACCAGGTTAATACAGCTGAAATAAACTCCATGAATTACCCCAGAGAAGAGACATAAACATCAATGTTTCTTGCTCCCTGTAACTGTTGAATGGTGTTCTTTGCAGTGTACCCACTATTATTTTTGTGCTGCCCCCTCCAAGTTTGGATTGGTTTCTTAAAACTGGTGCCACCTTTTGATATTTGTGAAGATGCACCATACTGCAAAGTAACACAGCAATCAACAGTTGAAAAAGGTGTCTTGCAGCATTTAAATGGCCTTTGCTTTGTTCATTAAATGAAACCATCCTCCAACTAATATGGCTAAATTTTGAAACCTACTGCTATAGCCATAGTTAAATCTGGATTTTTCAGGCTATTGCTAAGGTTATCAGCTGAAATACTTAAATGTTTTTATCAGTTGATTTCTGGGGAGTGGTTATATTTAATGAAAAAGGATGGTCTGTCTAAATATTGCGAGTAACCTGTTGCATAATTCTGTTTTCAGAGATTGTTCTTTCTAAAAGGTTGGAAATACACAAGTTCATCTACTGTACCTACTTCAGCAAAAGATCTTTAAAAAAATGTTTGGAACACTGCAGAGAAAGTATTCATGGATTAAAATTTTGCAAAAAGTTAAATACTCAAGAATTTCTTTGTAACCTTGAAAAAAAAATTTTAGGGTTGTTGCAACCTTATTCAAGTTTTCAACTAAGAAAGGAAGAGCAATACTAGTGAAAACAGTTGTTGCTTTGATGTTATAGGTCATTCTCATCATAGCAGGTTCTAGCACATGTATGCATGTACAATTTATTTGTGGAAATGATGTTATTATTTGGACAAACAAACTTTCAGAGAAGAGTCAGGGAACCCACTTGTGCCAGAAGTTTGCTGTGCATAATGGCCTTATAAAGCTGCTGTTGTGTTTCTAAATTGTGTTCAGTGTGGTGGTTAATGTAGTGAGTGATCATTGAGTCTGTGTTTATGTGTGTTGAATATTGTTGATGTAAAAAACACTAGCAAATTTGTCGAGTGAAAGAAAAAAAAAATCAAAGATTGAAAACTAATGGAGTGAAGGTTCTGTTCTTTTCTGTGTGTCTGTTTGGAAGATGACATTTGGCAGTTATCCCTGTACAAAACCTACATTGTTAATTGATGGCTTCAGTGAGGTGGCCGAGATCAGGTTAAAGATAGGTTGTCTGCTCTGTACCCGACCTAACTTTGAATATATTGAATAAAAAAATGCTTTTCACCTTTCCCAAGCATCTTTTAGGTAGGGTTCAAACTCCATGAAGGTTGAGAGCGCACACAAGTCACAGTGCATTGTTTTGTTTGTTTGAAAAAATTCCACAAACCACAGAAAATGAATATATTTTGGAGAACATAATAGTTATTATGGTGATGGGCTTAATCTTCATTGGATTTATGCTCTACATCTAAATATATGCTGCCCTGTGATTGCATGGATTGAATTGAGTTGGTTAGTTTCTAATATTCTTGGCTATTGCAGGAATCAGTTTTCTTTGAAAAATGCTGGCTTTGGGAAAGAAAGACTAGACGTGCCTGTATATAGCAGCCTATGTGTCTGTGTACTATGTGTTATTATGCTTGATACAACATTATTCTTATGTTGGTACTTCACTCATTTTAGGTCCAAAAGTGGTTTCCAAAGTGATTACCACACAAACTATTGAGGCTCTTACAACAGTGCTTAAAAGGAAACCTGTCATCTGGGACAATATTCATGCCAATGACTATGATCAGAGACGTGTCTTTTTGGGTCCGTACGACGGGAGGCCAGTTGAACTTTTCCCCTTGCTAAATGGTGTACTGACCAATCCTAACTGTGAGTTTGAGAGTAACTTCATTGCTGTCCACACTCTATCTTCATGGCTAAGAGATTCCTCCCTGCTCACTGCTGAAGAACCGATGAGTATTGATTTAAAGGCTGAGAAATCAAGTAGTTCGAGTGAACCTATGGAAGAAGATTTGCTTGCCAGTACTGAGAGTGATAGAGATGGCAATTGTGAGAAAGATGCTGATCAAGGAGTTTCTCAAGAAATCAGTTCTAGTGAAACAGATAGTGAAAGTGTGAAGGTAGAAGGTGAAATGGAGACAGAAAGTGCTACCTCATTGAGTGAATCTAGGAGCGCTACTGTACGTACCAGTTACAACCCACAGAATGCTCTGCGAGAAGCTGTATCTGCTTGGCTGGAAGAATTTTCTAAAGTAAAACATGCTACATCCAGAACCTATGCCAAAAGTGGTGCCTACAGTATGACACCTGAGGCTATGCCAATTTCTGTGCAAGCACCTATTGGGACATGTCCAACTTCACATACAAATGTTACTACCACTGTGTGCTCACCTGTAGTGACTCCTTCACCAATAAAGGTGGCAAAGGAAAACAGTAGGAAAAAGCTTAGCACTTCTTCGGCTTCAGGTAAGAGCTAGAAATTACAAATATTATTCATAGCTACATACTCATGTATGAGCTGAAAGCTGAAAGATTTTCTTCACTTTAGAAGTCTTGAGCTGGTTCCATGGATTTCTTTTACCCCCTTTTAACCTATTGACACCCGTGCTGGCCGTGACTGGCCATGATGGATGTTGCATTTTGTTCTACTCCCGACGTCATCAGCTTTCACCAAAATTGGCATTATCTAGTTCTGCTGGAGCAAAATATCTTTCCAATTGCCTGATTTCAAGCTGCGAAGGACTAGGTACAAGTCTGTAAATTATGGGATTAGCAACTATTCATCCACATAGTTAGAAAGTGCACATCAAGATTCACAAAATCCCCAAGTTTAGTGTTAATCAGGCTAGTTTTGACTGAGATACAGCCATTTAAAAACGCCAAAATTACATAGAAATATTTGGTCATCGGGACACAGCGTCCGAATGGCCATACATTTTTGGTGAATTTTGATGTTTTCAAATGGTTGTATCTTTCTTACCATTAAGTCTATTTGCACCAAACTTGGGGATTTTGTAAAGCTTGGCGTGCACTTTATGACTATGCGGATCAATAGCTGCTAAACCCATAATTTGTAGACTCGTACCTAGTCCTTTTCGGCTTGAAATCAGGCAATGATGCTGAGATCAGAGTGATGGGGTCAGTGGGGTCTGAAACATGCTCAAAAATGCACAGAGAAACTCAGAGCAAAATTTCCTTCAACTACACTTGGCTACTCAGTAGTAGGAATTGCCGGTCTTTCAGGACTTTTTGAACTGGAAGCAAGCCCAGTAGAATGTCTATCACTGCAGCAAAAAGATAAGAAAAGGAGAAAAAGGAAAGGCGAAAAAGAAAATTGAAAAAACCAAATGGCCTAAAGATGTAGGTCACTTTCTCGTCCAAAAACTATCTCAAACACGGGCGGCCCAAGCTCACGATGCAAGGAGTTATTATTACAATCTTTACGCGAATGTTCAGTGACATACTATGGCTGACATCTACTATGATAATAATTACATAACGACCGAGTTTGACTACACTAAATGTGACTCTCGCCTTGCAGCATATGGAGCTGTTTCATTACAACGGTTTGAATTTATAAAGGTTTGTATGGGGAAAAACTGTAATCTACATTTTAGCCAAAATTTTGATATTTTTGCAATCAAAATGATTTTCCTCAATGCCTTGTTTTCTTTTCTATTGTTATTTCGCTTCTCAGTTCAATCTGAAGCCTTTTAAGCGAGTTATTGCTTTTTAGTTTTCCTGTCCTAAGATAGTGTAAAGGCTAGACAAAAAAAAATAAAACATTGAAAGCATGCCAGCCGCCCCAATTCCTCTACAGAATCATAGTACAGGGTTAAACACTCCCTTTCAGTTAAATTCCAAGCCAAATTCATCTCTATAGTACACACTACAAAGCTCTGAATTGAAGAAAGCTAGCCATCCGGACTGAGTGATGATGCTACTGGGACCTGCCATGGACGCATTCAAAGTCGGAGTGGAATGCCGGGCTAACAAAGTGACCCCGACCAGGGGAAGGGAGCACACAGTGAGGATACTTAAATAACCAAAAGAATATTCACCCCTTTTTACTTGTTCCAGGTTTGCTTTGTTGAGTTCTATCCCCTCTCCGTGAACTTGCACAAGATGCTCTAACCAATCAATTGGCACAGATGCACTGTTTTTTTTTTGTGTGTGTGAAAAAATGGTAGCTTTGTGCATTTGAGTGGTTTATTGCATTTGTTGCACATGGTAAGATGTGGTTGTTCTGGTGTTGGTGTTGCGACAGTTTTGTGAAAATCACTCTATGAAAGAGGGGATCCAATTTTTGAGTTATTTTTTTGTAAAAAAAAAATACCCCTTAGTCGTCGCATCGGGTATGTTATGGACAGGCCAATGGATGAGTGAGTGAGTGAGAGATGAATGTATGTCACACCAATCAGATTGGATCTACTATAAACAGCCAGTCAAATTTCTTGTTGTAAAGGTAAATGATATGTGAGAAGATTTGATCCCAATAAAGTTCAGAACGGCCATATTTATTCTTCTATAAAAGAGGAGGAAGTATTCATATATTGGGTTTACTTCGACATTTTCTGTGGGTTAGGCTGAGGATTTTAGTTATGAACGAGATGAGCCTGGAGGTTTGAAACAGTTCGTGAGTTAGTAGTATGCAAATGGAATGAGATATTTTCATTTTTAGTTACAAAGGTAACTTGATACTTTTGTTTTTGACAAGGAGTAAATTCAATTAGAGGTCATGAATCGTCGCTTCTAGTTCTTAGGACATGTTTTAGAGGAGATGAGACTATTTAGATTTGAAACAGTTCTAACGTTTACAATAGTAAGTGCAGGTAACGATTGCTTTGTTCTTGTTGCATGCAAATATAACGAGATATTTTTATTTTTTAGTTACAAAGGGTAATTTGGCACTTGTTTTTCATTAGGGAGTAAATTCAATTAGAGCTGACGAATCGTCACCACTCTTTCCCTCGAGAAGTTTGCTATCTTTAGGTACAAATGGTAACTTAACACTTTTGTTTTTTATATGGGAGTAAATTCAATTAGAGCTGACAAGTTATCGGCTATTCTTTCCAGGATATTAAACAAAAGAGAAGCTTTCATTTCTGGACAGTTTTTACGTCTCTGCAGTAGCAGTTTAATAGTTTTATTTGATGACATTCATTTCAGTCCGATATTTTTAAAGGTAAAAAGCATGAAAATTGCTCAAATGTTCTTTGAAGACCGTGTGGCACCAAGTTAAAGTGCAATTCAGTTAAATCAGACTTTGAACATATCAGAGAGGTTTTTTCTCTTTCTTTCTATTTTCGGTGAAGTAGTGTTGTGTTGTGTAGAAAGGGTAAACTTACCACTCATATAAAATACAAAAAGGTCTCTTAATTAACTTGATTAATTTTGAGCAAAAATTCCTCTTGGGGGTTGGAAGAGCTATGTGATCGGTGAGTGAGGGAGTTATGCATGTGCACGTGTCACACCAATCACAGTGGGGGTTGTATCAAAGAACGAATCAAATTATCTGTTAAAAAATAAGATGGTATTATCTACATTAATCTGGAGACGTGTCAGATTACTGTAGTTTGTTTAGTCAAACATTTTATGGCTTACTATTTAGCTATCTTACCATGACTGATGTAACATCGCATGTACATCATAAATTCCCAGTTTCTTTCTTGCTGTACATCGCAACCAAAAACATGTTAAATTAACCAAGTCATGTCTGTAAACAGCTCCATGAATGCTCCTATCTCCAACACTTCACACAAAAAAATAACTCTTGCACGCCTTGCATGCCTATGTTTTGATTGGTGATCGGTAACGTACTGTTTTTGTTCCATGTCAGAAAAGAAAGATGAAGACACTGAAAAGAAAGAGCAGGAAATGCCAATGGAAATAAGTGAACCAAAGGAGAAACCTGCTTTGACACCACTGAGTGTCGAGGACCTTCTGTTGCTGGTAGATTTATTCTACCTACCATACAATCATGGGCAGAAAGCCAAACAGATCATAACTGATTTCAAATGGCTCAAGTTCAATGCAATTAAGGAAGATTCACAAGACTTCATGGAGCTTACTGAACAAGAGCAGAAATCTAAGGTATGGTCATAAACCCATTTATTCCAAACCTGGTAATAAGGATGGTACTGTATAATAATTTAATGGTACATGTGTATTCTGCACAGCAACACTCTTTGAGTTGATCATTTTATCTGTTATGTCACCTGTCATCTCATTGGCAATCTGCTGATATATTAATGTTGTATTTAAGAAACTTGGATGATGTAATACACTATTGCACAGTTTCTTGATACTTTTTCAAGGACTTATGAAAATGGAAGGTGTTAATTGTGTGGGACGAGTCTATAACAGCAATGATGACATCGTGTCTGGAATATTTACATTTGATTACAAATATATACGCTAATCTGAGCTGTTACTTGACCTGTTCAAAGTCTCTTGTATAGATTGCCTCTATATTACAGACAGTTCACTCGGTCCCAGAGAAACCAGAATTCATTATTTCAATCTCAACCTCTCTAATATAAACACCTCTATAATACTGAAACTCAGCTTTGTCCCTTTGGTGTCCTTACTGTACAGGTTTGACTGTACTGTAGTTATATGCTAGCAAAGGCACTTATCATGGGTTTCAATTTGCCACATTCCAGATAACAGAATGGAATGACAGAGCTGAGAAGTTCCACGAAATCTGTCGGTCAGTAGGAGAGATGTTTGTGAGACTAACAGAAACATCCAATAGAGCACTACTGTATGACCTCTATCCATATGTCTGGGATGTAAAGGAAGTCTTGCAGTTGCTCGACACATTTGTAAATTGGCTGAGCACAAAGAACAAGAGGAGGAAGCAAAAAGGGCAAAGCTTTTACCCAGAAGATCCTGAACCTTGGGTGTTTAGAGGAGGTTTATGTGGAGAGCTGCAGGTATGTTTCACGGTTGGCTACATGTATTCCAGGGATACTGCATTTAGTCCCTAGGTTGCAATAATGGTGGCATTCAGAAAGACAAACTATCCCAGAGAGTTCTTCTACTAGGCTGAAACAAGTTCAATAGTGGGCTTGAAATTTTCCATTTTACCCCATACTTTATGTGTTAACAAGGCTGGTAGTAAGATACATTGCAAACATTTTTGCAGATGATAAAGGTCATACAGAAGAATAGACTGATTTGAACTAGTGTTCTCAATGTTAGTATGTATTGTGTTTGCAGAGACTGTTACCTATTGATGGAGGACATGAAGTGTTCAACGTGAGAGCCCCTGAAATTCCCACTACGCGTATCTACACAATCAGACCATACCAGACAGAAGATGAGGTATAGATTCTTTAAACTTTAGTATATCTTTGAATACTTTTGCTCATAAGCAATGTGGTACTGTGACAGCATTGTTAACCAATCACTATATATTGCATTGTAACTTAAAATGTGACTGTAATAATCAGCTAGCTGGTGTGATTAATGTCATTAATTAGCAAGAAAGTACTTTTACAGGATGTATAACTTCTTATGAACACTGCACTTCTTTTTAATGCTCCATAATGTGCACACAGTGGTGTCTTACAGTTCTTAGGGCAAGATTGTGCAAAGATGGTTTGTTCACTTGAAAAACAAAGCAAGGCTGTCATTAAGTTTTGAGTCACCTGTAACCTTGTTCTCCACAACCAAACTTGTTGCTTTGTGGGCGAATTATATCGACAACAAGCAATTTTGATATAGTTAAATGAAATTTGACATAGTTAATGACTAGGAGCTAGTCTGGTCAGTAGCGTTTTTGTAGCCGGTTGTTAGTGTCTTGGTCGTCTGTTAGCGTTTGTTTAGTGTTTGGTGCATTCTGTAGCGTTTGATATAGTTCAATGAAATTTTACATGGTTTATGACCAGGAGCTAGTCTGGTCAGTAGCATTTTTTGTAGGCGTTTGATGGTGTCTTGGCCATCTGTTAGCGTTTGTTAAGTGTTCTGTAGTGTTTGCAGCAGTCATATGGTCGTGAGAGCCCTGGGGCTGACATTGTCCAGCTGTATTCTTGGTTAGTAAGTGCGTTGTTGTCCCATATACTTGCAGTGTGTTCGTTGCTCTGTTAGCGTGGCGTTGTGGATTGAATTATAGTAGTTTAGTGGTTCTCGGCGTTCCCTCCCTATCCCACCCTCTTTTCAGCATTTTTTTTTCCGCTGAGCCATCTGGCTTGAGTGTGATGGGTGCCTGTAGGGGGTCTGGTGTGGGGGGCTCGTGACTTGGTTGCGGGTTGGGCAGGCCAGTCAGGTGTTCTAGCACCTCGGGGATGTGACTGCGGTTGCAGACCCTGGGCTTCGTAGGCGCCTTCCCTCTACTAGCAACTTGGGCGTTAACTCGTAGCATCAAGGGAAAATCAACCGTACTCAGCCATAACAGGTGTTATGGGTTACAGCCTTTAATCACAGACCTGACAAAGCACATGAATTGCAAGTCATTCATGCCTGTTTTCTTTGGCAGAAATCCTTGTATGAAATTTGTGTTGCAACGTGTGATGATTGGGAAGATGGGCATGATTTATTTCCTGACAAACAATTCAACATGGCAGGAGATAGGTGGGTGACCTGTTTTGGCAGCTGCACTTTAGTAACTGAATTTCCTTAAAAAAAAACTACACTTCTGTAATAATTTTTCTTACACTAATAATTAAAAATGTCGTGATAAACTTCTTTTAACAAAATAATACAGGTAAAGAAGCCAGAATTATGTATTATACTGCCATAAATCATGAGCCACAGACAAGTTTTTTCTACAAGTGTTAAAAAAAAAAATTATATTGTTCTTGTTTGCTATATAATAAAAATCTTATTGGCCGAGCTTAGTCGGTCTACATGTGAGAATCTTGACCTCGGTCATGTGTACAGACCTCACTGCATTCGGTCTGTACTCACAACCTCGGTCAATATTCTCGCATACAGACCTCCTGCTCGGTTAATAAGAGCTAAGTTGAGAAAGGCTGTCCAACAGAAGAGTAACTGTGTAAATAGCAGTATTGAAAGTTCTCATGGGTGATGTGGTTCACTGTTGATTTATTGATTGAAGCTCAAGGTGCTTCAGTATGATAGATGGAGACAGTGTGGATATGTGTATTCATGCTTTCTCCTTCCTTGCTGAAACACTGTGAACCCCAACCAAGCAATTATAATCTAAGCTCTACCCATAATATCAATCAGCCTTGTCACGTTGACCTGTCGGGCAGCCGAAGGTGCAACAAAATCCTCAATATAGTCTATACCAGCATAGTGGACTATCTCAGATGCAGGCTATGTCTTGTATCCTTTTGCATTTTTGTTGAAGAACCTTTCTCAAAGAAGCTGTATCGAAAATGTCATTCACAGTTTACCCTTTTGGGGGAGCAGTGACTGTGTGGCTGGTTTTCTATGGTTATAAATAAATTTATGAATACATTGTGTAGGTTTGTTGGTCCATACCTGAGGATCTGTCCTGAACATGTGTTCGTGGTGGAGGATGGAGATGGTATCTGTGGCTATGCAGTGGCGGCTCCTGATTCAAAACACTTTTATGAGCAGTTTAAGAAACACTGGCTTCCTGAGGTATGTACAAATATATTTTCCTGCTACTTAACAGTAGTTGTCTACATACATATTCTTTCTTAGCTCCACAGACTTGCCAGAAAGTGTGTCTTGATACCTCAGATTGTTTTCTTAGGTTTGCAAGAAATACCAAAAGCCACACGGAAATTCATCAGAGTGGACATATGCAGAACAACTGGCCAATAGTTTTCACAGTCCAAAGATATTTCTTCCTGAAGACTTGGCTTTAAAGTTCAGCGCCCACGTACAGTTATACCTTCTTCCTCGTGCACAGGTATGTTGTAGCTGCTTCTCAAGAAAACCCCAGGGTTTTATGTTCCTTTATTGCTAGTAATAAGAAAAAAAATCATGGAAGCCTTGTGTTATGGTAATCGAATTATAATTGACATGGATAATCTGTTTATAGATTTTCCTTTGCACCTTGTCTGCCAACTGCACCTTATCTTCTCTTAACCATCACATGGAGTCTGTTCATTCTCAATGGAAGTCTGTTTCCAATCTTTCTTGAAGGGAGTGGGCAGCCTAGATAAAGTATGCTCATCACAATGAATCTTTTGAGAGTCAAGATTAAAGAAAACATTTGGAAACTAAAGAGCCATTCATCCACATAGAGACAATACAATTTATCAGAAGTGCTTAATCTGATGTTGATGTGTATTCCCCCAGTTGTTGTTTGGCAGTTTTTGTTTTTTTTTTAATTTATTTTTTTTCTCACCATCTTTTGTTCCCTCCTGACAGAACCTTGGTCTTGGCAAGCGCCTGTTAGCCTGTGTTCTGTCGGCGCTGAAGGCTGAAGATTGCACAGGGGTGCACTGTGAGATTGCGACCACAAACAACAACGCTCTGGACTTCTACACCAAATTAGGATTCTATAATATTCCACTCAAGGAACCAGCGCCTCCGGACACTGTCATCTTCGGCAGAACATTTTAAGCAAATGTTCCTTCAGTTAATCACTGACCTACTTTGTGTTTCTTGTATGCAAGTTAAATCGTGAAGGAATAGCCTTTTAAGTTTAGGCAAGTGCCTTATTGCAGAACAAAATTGTGCGATATCTTCCTATGTTGTCGTGTAGTGGGTTGTTTCATTTTTAAATACTGTAGTAAGTTTAATTACTTGTTGCATTAATGTAATTATGTCCAGTTGTTGTTGTAAAACGTTAGGTCTATGTTAATGTAACATATTATTGTTCTGCGGAAACGCAGTACTTTGTACAGTGTATGTGATGATCTCTGCTGTATTATGGAAGAAAAAACATAGGCAGAAAATTTTAGAAAAAGTTTAAAATATCGAGTCGGTGCTCGCGCCGTTCACGACTTGTACGGAGAGAATTTTTTTTATAAAATTACTCTTTTACAAAAAATTATAAAATATTTAATTTAGCAATTTAAGGTTATGCCGACCTAAATTTGAAGATACTTGTGTATCATGTAGAATTGAGTGGTAGTCGGGGCTCGCTATATTTAAGGTTATTCCCCAGTATTGCATTGCGCATCCCTACTGCGCATAATTTCATGCGTGATTAGCGCGCGCGCATTAAAAAATGGCAGCTTTTTCTTTACAGCTGGACCTCGCCATAGAGGTAAATCGTCCAACGAATATGGTGACCTATCATTTTTTCTCTTGTTTTGAATTGAGTAATAAATTTCTCTGTGTAAAATAAATATGGACCAATTCCCAGTGTAGAACAAAAAGCAATCGTCGGAAACGTGAATTTAGCAAGCAATCGTGACTACAATCATGGTGCTATTATAAGGATTTATATGGGTTTAAACAAGGTGCTGTTGCTCCTAAACGAACATGGGGACCCCTCATTTTTATTTAAAAATTTAAGTTCCTATAATATAAACAATCAATAGGCAAAGTTTCACAAAAATCTTAGTGCAGGTTCTATTTCAGTGGAATGACCTTAAAACAAGCAGAGAGAAATTCATTATAGTTTGGTTTCTGTTCCTTTGCTTGGTCACTCATTCTTGCTTTCTCTTCTACGGTTGGTCTCTGAAAATAACTCGTTAAATACGGGATATTGTCTCGGGAATTTTGTCATCGAAACTCGGCCCAATTTGCACTTCCAAGATTTTCAAAAAAAAAAAGTAGTAATCTTTGGGTGTACAGCACCCAAGTCACCAAGTAATTATCTCTATTAAAAAGCTAGTTGATAGAAGGTTAGAACAATTTAATCAAAAACCCGAATGTTTGTATTATTTATGTAATTATGTCGTAAGGGATATTTTGAAACAGAAGTCAATTGAGAGTTAGATTTTGTTATTTGCCCTTCGAAAGGTTACGTTTGAGGAAACGCAAAAATTCCAGTGGCGATAATTCTTTGAAATAGTCGGCCGGCCATTAGTTCCAGAGTTTCTGAATTATTTCAGAATGTTATTGCGTTTTCACATTTAGATGTTTGTTTTGTTTTGTTTTGTTTTTTTTGGGGGGGGGGGGTTTTTGATGTCGTTGTAACTAGAAAGGCATGCAACATGTAATGATCGTTACAAGTTTGAATGAAACTAACTGAAACCTTCAAATGTCTGTAAATAGACCATTTTCGTATTCTTGATATTAGACTGGAACTAGCTTGCTACTGAGACTTAAGCGGCGAGTCTTTTCAAATGCAAATGCCTTTGATCTGTTTTTAAAGATATTTCCCCGCATGAGCCTCCATTGCAAGTTAGTTCCAGTCTAATACCGAGATTACGAATATGGCCTATGGCCTAATATTGGCTTTCATCAAAAGGAAATAAAACTTAACCACGTCAGATTGTTATGAAGTTATTTACTTTGCTTGATGTATTGATAAACTTATTAAGAGAAGGAAGGTCTATGTCAACAAAGACACGAGTCCTATAGCGCAGGAAACTCAGGAAATATTAGTGGTTACTGGACGCTAGTAAACACTGATTGACTTCAAGAACCGATTGAGCCAATTTTTCACTCTCTATACTCTTGGTGGGTGACCCACATAGAGAGGGTAAATTCAACGCGAGAAATTAGCCTGTTAACGGGTTACTGTGGTTGTTGAGGAACAGTCTACTGACTCAATAAAGCGTTTGTGGGAAGGGCGGCCGTGAATACGAAATGTAACGAAAATAGAAGCTTTAGAAAATAACGGACTGCCCTTGCGTGTCTGGTAAATATATCCAAATGACTCCACGGAGTGAAACGAAAACATCTATGACGAAAACAACATGCTTTTGCGAAAATATCAAATCGAAATGAAGTTAAATTTTCGTTCCATTTTATCAATGGTTAATTATTTTCCCGCGTTGCCTTTTTGCTTTCTTTGTTTTTTCGATTGTCTTCATTTTTGGACAATAAAAATGATTGATTCTGTAGACATTTTAAATACACTATAAATGTTTCTTTTTTTCATTTGAGGGGTGCACAGAAGACTGGATTTCCGATAAACATACAAGCTATTCAGAAATGGTGCAGGAGAGAATTGTTTGCCCAAAGAACGATAACGTAGGTCTAGAGAAAAAAGGACAAGAATTTAGGTATGAAAAAGCTATTTATACTAAGTTGAAAGAGATGCCTTCGAGTGGCTCTTGCATAACTTACAAATTCTTAAATAGCCTACTAGCCCCTTAGGAATTCACGCCTAAAATACTTCTACAGTTAACACGAACCATACATAGTAAACATACTCCAGTGTAATAGCGAAACGTTGCAAAATATATTTAAGGTCATTCTCCAGTACTGCATTGCGCATTCCTACTGCGCTTGATTTCACGCGTGATTAGCGCGCGCACATCAAAAAATGGCGGCTTTTTCTTCACAGCTGGACCTCGCCATAGAGGTAAATCGTCATTTTCTCGCAAACGAGTATGGTGACCTATCATTTTTTTCTGTTG